ATACTTTAAGGAAAGTGGAGTCTTGAGAAATCCATGACAGTTAAGATGTTAGGTCGAAACTTGATCAGGCAAGCCTTTTCTCCCCAACAACCAGTGACAGGAACTTTAAGCTTAACTTCAAAACGACGCCTTCGTTGAGCCTTCCACATGACAAGGCCGACCATTTAAAGGGGTCGTACAATTCTTGCCACCGTTTTAAAATCGAATGTAACCCTCAAACGTGTGCACAATTCCAAAAGTCATTACGCCTCGTAATTGTGTCAAATGGTAAGGAGTTATGCAACTTGTTCATTATCTCTGAACAGAGTGTGATTATAAAGTTAGGAATGCCTTTTAGTGTGTAGGCCTATTTCTGTTTACAGTGAAAACTGGCATCCAGCATACTTTGTCACTTTTGTCCATTTTCTCAATAATAATTAAAATTTTCTTAAAATATCTCAAGTGAATGACAAAGGTTGACATATACAACATTGTAATTACAGAGCACAAAGGTACTTACAGGGAGATTGAAAACCATGCATTATTTGGGAATGCTCATAAAAGTGTACAGGCCTTGAAACCGCCCGCGACCATTTCGAGTATAAACAAGGCTTTCCTTCTATATATATTTTCCTCATGAAAAACCAAAGTTGCTGTAACACCTACTAGTAATGTTCAACAGTTTTACATCATCAATGAGTAAACTGCCCCATTAGAAAATTTTTCAAATACAACCCTAGTCATTCGCAGATAATAATCATTTTATATAAAATCTGAAACCATTTACCAATGTCCAACTGAAGGGGGTTGAAATATGATGAGTAACTATCGTTCCATCGTAATTAGCCTGGGATTTTTTAGTCCTTTTCGACGCCAAGGACGAGCCAATCGCTGTTGCATTCTTAAATTGAAACTCAGGTGTGGGGTTCACACGGTTTTATTGAGTGTAGAATTCTCGCCACATCTATGTTCAGCCAATCATGAAAGGTGTAGGCACTCTTCGCTAATGTACGTGTTAGAGAGAAAGCGGAACACGACCGACCATTGGGTGTTTTTTCACTCTCTGCCAAACATGTAATGTGTTACAGCTATATACAATCCCCTTAGGTTGGCAGACGATTATCTAATCCGACCGCCCAGGGTTAAACACTTTTGATTCCGGCCTTTTCTGGGTTAATTGGCCGTTTATTGGATTCCAGGAGGACAATTGGGACTTAGAACCTGAGGCTTCCATCCTTTGAGAGGTCGAACAGTTTGTGGTATAGCGTTTTGAAATCTCCAAAGGACAAAAGGTTGAAAACCTTCCTCAAATGGTCATCAAGTATATTCAGATTTAGATTAGATAAGAAAGTGTCTTTCTTTGCAATGACAAACGGGAAAAACAACATAATGTTAATTTGCATTTCAGCCCTCGGTCAAACTTACAGATTGCCCACATTTTTCTTCAAAGTAAGTACTTCAAATGTCTTCATTTAAATCCAATCAGTTTAAAGGAAACATTAAACTAATTCACATTTGGGTCTGCCATTTTGCATTCACAAGCGAAGACCTAATGTAATTTTCTTATCCCGTCAGTTTTGATGGCTTCTTGGCATTACAAGCCCTTACTGATTTGGATTGGGATGATTCAGTGCAATAAACACTTGAAATGTGGAAGTTAAGAAAGATCTCTTATATTCACAATCGAGATTAATTGAATGTTCGTTCAAAAATAAAGCAGTCCTCGACACCCTAAGGGCAGTCATGTATGTATCGACTGGATTCCGTGTTTGCATCAATGCTATTTTATGTGCAGTTTGACAAACCCACTCCCTGATGCTTGTAGCTTTTTCATCGATCACCTTCTGATTTTGAAGTTCTGCCCTAAAAGTGTAAGTTTGAGACCTATTGTTATCAGATTTGGTATTTTGAGAGGTTTCAACTTAGATATCCATCATTGTATTTCTGATGTTAGTCTGTTTTTGGCTCTGGGGTAAACTATGCCAGTCAGAGAAGTTACCTGTGGAAGTCTACTGCGAAGTGCTTGGACAAAGACTCGAAAGCACAATCCATTTTATCGCAAAATTGATTTAAATCCCTCTTTTGTTTTATTCAATTGAAACTCCTTTCGATCGATGTTTGACTTTTTGACATTCTGATTCAAGCCACGAAACAGTGTTTCTATCAGTTCTCTTGATTTCATGTGGGGAGAAACTGATCGCCCCGTATCCTGTGGTATGCATTTCCAAAGGCAGAGGTGGCTTAGACTTCGCGATCTATAAAAAAAAGTGAATCATGAGCCGGAGACTAAATCCGGGTGTGAAATATTCAACTAATCTAATTTGAGGATGGCCAACACCGATGAATAATGCCCAGCGCATTCGTGTAGCCGCAATAATTACACACCACTATGCTTAATATGACACGAAGAAGAAAGCTGACTCGCCCATTCTGGACTAAATGTCAGCATCACTTTCACCCTGGGGCCATCCAGGAAGACCTGGACAAATGTTCCAACTATTTAAAAATTACTTGCCGGCAATTTCGCCACTTCCTGCCCATTATGGACCCAATCCTGGCTTTAAAATGAATCTTAGTGATTATAATCTCCCAGGATTCTTCAAGAATCTTCATTTTGTTCATGTGTTTATTTTAACTGTGTTTATCAGAGATTTGTTTTTTCTGTTCTGCAGCCCACTATAGGCAGATCAACATCGCCGTGTTCTACCTTCTTGGCTCTTGGGATTTACGTTAAAACCTCCATTTTAGTCTCTGTTGTCACCCGCATTAATTTTGATTGGTCAAGCACACATGTCTGATATTGAGGGTCAATTTTCCACTTTTGACGAGTTAATTGAATGTTTGGAACCGTCCTCTCCATTATGTAAGCCCATGAAAATGAAGTCTATATTTTGAAAGATCCAAATATTCAAGAGAAAATGTAGTCTGAACCTAAAAGGGAAATTTGCGTTCATTGTTAACTGGTATACCCTTCTTTGTTAATTGCCCGTGTGTTTTTTATGTTAGATGTTTCTGTTTTACTACATGAAATTAATATGTATTCCAAGAAAAATCAACTAAGGGAATTAGAGAAAAATTCCTGTAACATTTAATTATCACTGTTACAAACATTCCTGAACGTGTAATTCCAAAGCATGATATCCCTGTGTTGCTTACTATTCTACAATACTCCAGATTTCAATAACACTGCAAATCTGCGCAGCTTCATTTCCGAGACACACGATCCGCATGGGCACAGTTGACCAAAATAGGTTGAATTTCGTTCGGATTTACCGTCTCCTATTCTCCTCAAACAAGGGAAGTTTGGGGTTTCACATCTAGAACTGCTTGAGCAAACATGTCCATGACCATTTCTATATCAGGTCGCACTTAATATGAAGCAGCTTTTTCGTACTCTGTTCTGGCTCGCTTTCAACGTAGCAAAATACTAAGCTAATATTAAAAATGGAATCGATATTGAATCGGAGGAGGTAGGGTTTGCCACAGTCAAGTCTCGTATTTGGCACGGGTGCTCTCGCATGCCTGTGCGTGTACCGATACAGAGGTCTCATCTGTGGAGATGGAAATATGTTGACATAGCTGAATGAGGCCTGTTCTACTTGGACTGTAGAGTCCTCGTTCTGCTCGATTTCCAAGCTTTCAGGCATCAAGGTGGTGTTATTTTAGCACAAAAACAATTCCATGCCTAACTCACATGCAGCAACGGATCAAATGTTTCCTGTTACGAAAAATTCTTGTGGTTTTTTTTTTATTTTTAACGGCAAATTGGAAAAATGAGTGCAATTTTTAAAAGTTATGTCAAGTGTTACATTTATTAAAACTGTTTCTGATTCAGCGAACTATATAGTCTAGGGCAGTGTGATGTGACGAAGGTCATTATATCATTTGTCTTGGTAAGAATGTGTGTTTAGGTTGAACATTACGTGTCTAATAAGATCGTCGCAATCAAAATTGAACACACCATTTGGTATCCGTGGGATATCTTCTACGTCAAACCTCATTTTGACGCTAATACAACATTTAAAGTACACCATTGCTTGCCTGTATTGGTAAAAGAATTGAATCTTATATCTTCTCTTTTACTTAATACTTTGAAAGGTCAGTCCCCACTCATAAACCTTGGAAAGGATATCTAGAAAGATGTACCAATACTTTTATATGTTTTGTGAGTTCAATGAGAACTCTTTGTATGTTTTCACCCCTGATCCCCTTTGCAGTCATTACAGATATCATCAGTGTCCTTGTGTGCCATCGAAATGACGAGATTTAAAGGTCCGGCTTGCGTCAAAGCCTCTAAATCAGTTTCCTTCGATCAAATCAAATCAGTCTGATTGTGCCCAAAAGTACTTCTGACAACTAAGGAAGTGCTCGTTTTATCATAAAAAAGCCGTGGATGTCGTTAACCGTTTATTCTTTGAATTCTATTTGCAAAGTTGCTATGATACCTTGAATCTGTCGTGGAGTTTAGATTTACGGTGCACTTTCATTCATTGCTGGGTTCAATGTGCAAAGGCCCGGGGGCGGAGTGTCACACCAAATAACGTATGCATGCATATATGTCACTAACGTTTCCGTAGTACTGCGCCACTCGTGAAGTCTTCATTTTCCGTCAAATGCAGTGCAACGATTGATGCAGTTTGAATACCGTGCCCACGTCAAAGATTGTTAGCCACTGACACGTGTTTCCGAGACTCAGTTTGCGCAAAAGATAGCATGTGTACGTACGCCTGCCCCTGTCATAGAACACCCATGCTTTGATCACAACACAGATGTAGGCACCTACTGCCTCTCCCAAAAGGGCAGAAAACAATTACTAACGTACTTGCCTCTACCAAATACCCCTCCGCACAAATTGGACTGAGCCGTATTATTCACTGACTGACGCGCCTAGGTGTAGCTTGGTGGCGTGCTTTTTTGTCCAGGTAGTTGCATTAATGGTCGGTCTAGACGGCCACGTCGCGCAGAGTTCTGAAAAAGTGGTATGAATAACCGGCACTGTGGGAAACTTTCTCTTTACACAGGGCCTGCAGGATGCGGACGACTAATCTTTTCGTCGTAAAGACAGTAGTTATCATCGGGTACCTCGCCTGTATAACAACAGCAGGCAATCCGTGCTGCAAGGGATCATGTCATGAAATCCCCAAAGGCTGTCACTGTCCCTTCATGGCTGTCCTGTGTGGGGACATAAACACACTTTCCATGGGAAAACGGAAAGCGGACGACTCTTACCAGACAGTACCGTCGTCCCAGCAGCAGTTTCAGCAAAGGAGACTGCAAATGCCCCACTCCCGAGCAGACCGGCGGCTAGACGATGACCGGTAAGTAATCTATAGATCGCCCGTTGTTTGAATGCTATTTGTATTATTTTTATATGGCATACTTGCTGGAGGCCAATGAAGTCGAGTGCTCGCCAAAACAAATATCGAGCCGTTTTGCAGATTAAACTGAGCAAAATCTCTTAATCAATATTTTAAGTCATACGTCGACCAATTACGATTCAATTAGAGCTAAAAGAAAAGAAAAACAAAACAGTCTAAAGGATATGTATGTGTTGGTAAATTCTGTTGCTTTTTACAAAATGTTGTCACAAGTTTCAGACACACAACAGTTTAATTAAAAAACAAACGGTAGGCCTACTTGTAGTAAATTTTTACTTTAGGTTTATGTCTCTGAAATTGAGTCTGATATGTCGGTAATGAATTGGGATATGAAAAGTCTGATATTGTTTCTTCAGCCCAAATATTAGTTTGCAGAATCATTGACAGGTCGTTTCAAAGCGTGTACCTCCGACGTGGTCCAGCCTGAGTCCTTGTAATTTTCCGTAAATCGATCCATCCGTCCTTTTAGCATGTGTTTCGAGTTTTTGATTTGCTTTTTGAAAATTTCCACACCACTGAGACACCCGAGCAAACCGTACCCATGTAAACAATATTTAAATCGTCACCACAAAGGTAATAGAGAACACTTGCAAACAGATGTGGGGTCTCGTGCTGTACACTTTGGAAGACTACTCCCACGATTAACAACGCATGCTTTCGCTCAAGAGCTTTGTTGACGCTTGAGGAAAAGGTCAGAACTTATGGCAACAGAAAGCAATTGACCATCGTGTAATTCAATTCACAAGCCAACTGACCGAGGCATCAGTGGTTTAACGCAGCGTAATGCCGCAGGTGAGGAAAACTTGTTATGGAAGTCGTGCTTGACCATGACATCTTGATGCTTTGCAATTCCTGGTAACTGTGCAGCTGCGGTTCCGACCAAGTCCCTCAAGTATGATAAAGTTTAATGGTCTATAGGAAAAAAATACGTTGAATTATAGTCAAACAGATCACTTACAGAAAACGAAGATAAGGTCGGTATAAAATGGACGCTTTCACTTGACAATAATCAACCTTTTAGACACTATCGTCGTCCTTGAAGTTTCATCGTGCATTCTTTGTCTTAAGCGAAGATAGAGTACCAAAAATCATTAACATCCGCCGTCAGTTTAGCAGCTATTATGAACGTATGGTTTTTATAGGCGTGGTGTTATTGCAAGCAAGCAACGTATTTACGCAAGAGAACTATCATGATGTGTAAGAAGAAGAGGGGATTTAACTTTATCTTTGATTACCAATACCTCCAGAGACGATCAATGGAGCCGTGCATGTACTGTACGCACGCATCCTATAACCTGAGGCAGGACACGTTTCGAATGCCCGAGTGAACGCTCTTATACACGCAGCTGTATCGACATTTTGGCTATTCTTATCAGTTTAAAAAATCAGAGTTTTCCAACAAGCCTTGCTGAAGTTCAGCATTTTGCACGTGCCTGATTAAAGTTAACATCTTTGTAAAATTCGTTTCAGACAAAATAGGAGTGTTATTGAATTAAAAGATAGCGCCGCAGAATTAAAGCGGGATTTCCTGAGAGACACTTTCCGAATATTTTGGCGCTAAATATAGGCAAAGAGAACCTGAGTTTGGATTAAACATCCATTTGAAGTAGTAAGCATGTTTTACTTTGCACGGCTATCGCTTATACCATTGAAATAACGAACTAAAGCTCAACCTTCAACCATCATCGTTGTAACACCTGAATCTCTGTAATTATTTGCTGTGTGTTGACGTTGACTGCTACGAACAATACTTAAGTCGTGTAACCAGCATTCCCTTGAGGAATTTCATGTGTAAGTATAGTCAGTCTTTTTTATAAAGAGACTTAAGGGCGCTAATTACTGAAATACTCACGCACAAGTTGAATCATATTAGCCTGAATAACATAGATATCACAATCCCCAAAATAGACATCATGCAGAAAATTGATGAGGGAAAATAACGAAGGTTTGTAATTGAAGTTCCCTTTGCATCGGCCTAGCAAGGTATGTTGGATCAGCATCAATGCAGCTTCTGTAGATCACGAAACGGTTTGTCGTATACCAATCACAAGTTGATCAGAATGCGTCCTTTCCTTGTCTCCCTTATCAAGGCAGGCCTCGATTTAACCGACTGAATCATTCCAAATAATTAGGATTCAACCTCCTGGAAAAAAGAAGTCTTGCCTCGTTACACAAGGCAAGGATGAATCTCTGGCTATCTTAGAGCCTCCATAGATAATGAAGTTTGCACTGATAGCATGGCGAGAACAACCTTTATGACAAAAGGTGAGCCTCGGCATTGTGCTCATTCACAATGGACAGCTGCGTGCTATCAGAAATCTCCTGTTTAGAGAATTTCATCATATTTTTGCAAGGCAAAGAACCCTGGTTTTGACTAAACGGCCAGGTTTGAAAGCGTTGGACTTGAAAGCTGTTTGTTTTGTTTTGTTTTGTTTGTGTTTGTTTTTTGTACACAGCCGATTTGACAGTTTTACGCTTCGGGTTAATCACATTATAAAAACCTTCATAGGTCTAATGGAGAAATGGTAATCGGGTCCACAATCTGCTATTTTTCTCAAGTTATGCCGAGTTGGCTTATAACTATTAGTTTAAAGCATCCCCAAAAAATCGCAGGAATCAATGGAAATTCAAAAAATCCCAATCTTATGTTAGTCGATTGAAATCATTTTTTATCCTAGGTAAATTGTGCTTATTTAAAATTGTGAAGTCAAAATGTAGTCCATGTTGACTAACGAATCTCAAGATGTTAACACAAACAGTAGCAAGAAATGTGATTCAGCACAGGGCATAACAAGAAAAAGATAACCGTCTGGAAACATACCAATTTTAAGTACCGCAGCTGTTGCAACAGCCATGGGTTGACATGACTTCTGAGAGGTTAAAGCATTCAAATCCTGTCTCTTTGTCCATCTGTGCAAGGTCAACCCCAGCCAGTAAGTATTTGTTTATAAAGGATTAAATAAAGTTATAGCCCAAATAAGAATTGTGTATCTTCAGACTTCGCTTGTCTACTGAAACTGCATTCTTCAGACCCATTTTTTTCAGCTTGGTGCCTCACACCACTTCGTTCATAGTAACAGAAACTAGAATAACATGCAAATATAACAGTATTACAAAAAACAATACATCAATATTATTCTTCCCCTTGAAATATAAAAGGTAGATTCCATAGTTTCAAGCACTTTGAAACCTTTGCGCTTCCCTTGCGCGTGCGATCTTCCAAGCACATCCACTTAAATTGATATGAATCGATACAAATTGCATTAAAAAATGCCAAAAGTGTTTCCACCTTTTAGTCTTTACACATTTCCCGCATTTTACCTGATCCCAGGTTTCTTACCAGCGTGCATTAACCACGAAAAAGATAAGAGGATCCACTATATGATGAACATAATGAAACGGCTCTGAAAAGCCTGGGTATAATTTGATCACACTACGTCAACTTGAGTCTGTCTCTAATGCATCTTCGATCAATACTAAACGACATTCTTGCTCAAGATCATTCCACTTGCAAGACGGATAAATCGGTCAAGGTATACGGTTTGGAGTGAGCTCTACGAATGATGTGTTTCGCTGGAAAATGTTACCAAAAGGGGAATTAAACAGCGTGGTAGACGTCTGATCGTTAGTTCAGATCCAACGTAGTGTTTCGTTTGGTGCAGACAAAATAGCGAGTTTAAGGGTTTGAGTTTTAGGGTCGCCACTGTTCTAGAACTTTGCTGCCTCTATTTCGTATGCCTTTACTTGTATCGAAAACGCAATACCCTCAGCGTTCCAGCTTGGTACACAGAATGTGTCAAGTCTGACCTGAGGGGTTCAGGAAGTATTTACTGTTAATTGCAACTTGTGCTTCAAAATTCCTCATAAAAAGTGCAATAAACTTACGGTGTTCAGCATGTTGGTACTTGTTTAGACTTTGGAACCCCACAATCTCTGTTTTGATTTGGAAACAGCAACATCACATTAAGAAGTGCTGTCATGATTACATCGTGCAAGAGCAGAGTCTCTCGAAGCTAGTGACAATCCTCGGCAAGTCGGCAACCACTTGAATTTGTCTTCTGAGCACGCGGTTTCTTGCTTGCTCACAGATACCTACGTTAGATACACAGAAAATGCATCATTGTGTACACGGTACCCCACAACCCATCAACGAACATAAAGGCCTCGCTCAGCTTCAAGACGTACTGGTCGACGGAATCCACTGTAACCAGATCACTTATACTCAATGGTAAACAGTGGTATGTCCAATCAATTCTGCTTTCTCCCAACACTCAAATGGATTTGACCTTAACCCGTCCGTTGAGTTTCACCCAATCGATGCTCGGAAATTAGCTCGGGGAAAAACGGGTTTATTGGATTAGACAGGGGTTGACGCGGTTCACACTGCTTTGCTGAAGTCCGCTTTTAATTCAATTCAGGTCATTCACGACATTAATGTGTACAGTGTGGTGTCCAACATTTGTACGCCAACGCTTTACCGAACAAACTGACAACGGTTGTTCAGTTTCAGTTAATATTTGAAAACTACATAAATGTTTTTATCTTGAATGTATGAATTTCAAAATGTCTGTGAGAGTGCAGTGTGATTTCATTTTTAGTGATCATTAATTTCAGGTCATTCCTTTAAACGTGACATTTTGCAACTACAAGCATCAGTTTATTAACGTCTTCATTGAACACTTTATTTCTCTGACAATCCATGGCCTAAAGGCTCCAATGAAACTTACTTGAAAGTTCAAATTCCCACTTTCCATAAAAAGTCAGTGATAATGTGCTGCTTTTTATTTAAATGAAAAGGACACAGTAAGTGCAATATCTTCAATACATTCTTGAGGGTCTTGTGTTGATGGATGGCACAGGGGCATATGCAGTTGTTACGTTATGGGAGTCCTGTGTTGTATAAAGGTTGGAAAGAAGTACATTTTTCACTTGTTATTTAA